CACAAAAGTGATGGGACACTTGTGCTTTACGAGAGGAAACTGTAGTAAAATAAATTAAAAAAAACATGTAAAAATTTTTTGTGGGTGTGTATCATACTTAAATTTAGTAACAATTATTACATAAGATACATTTTCTCAAAATTAAAATAGTAATTAATAAAAATACAAGTTAGAACGGAGCAAAAAAAGGCTCACCTAAGTGATGGGACACTTACTTCCATCAAATATTTATTCAAAAATTTCTTCTAAATGTTTAATATTTGTTGGATTTCTTTGATTTTACCCATTCTTCTTGAAGCAAGATTTTAATTGTTTTTGAGAAAAGGGTGTGTTTGCGAATTCTTGATTCCAATTTTTGCCAAATATTTTCTATGTGATTTAAGTCTGGAGATTGTGGTGGTGTTTTTATTATTCCAGGAGAGTTATACAGCAGCCAGACTCTAACGTTCAAAGCAGTGTGCTTGGAGTCATTGCCCTGGTAGAATTTAAAATCGTTACGATGGTTCAATTTTCGTGCCGAAGATTTCAAATTTTGATTTAAAATGTTAACATACTTGTGCCGATCCATTATACTGTCAATAAAAACAAGACCAACACCAGCGGACGACATACACCCCCATACCATAATTCCACTCACAGTTTTATGTTGGCACCAAGTTTGTTGCGAATTTTCCTGGGTTTCACCCACCAGATTCTACCGTAGACAAATATAAATTTACTTCATCAGCAAATATACTCATTCCAGTAATACTCTTATTTATGTTGGATTTGCGAAAGCCAGAACAATTACTCATATAATGTTGTAATCAGCAGCACTTTAGGAGCACTCATTCTTGGACTTTTTTTAAATTTTGAACAATTCCTTTATCCATTGGATAGCTTTGATGGTCGGCCAGGTTTCTTTTATCCTGAATCATATGATTCTTTTTATATCGTTAATGATATTGAAAACTGTGAATGACTCAGGTTAACTGTTCAGCCGTTCTTAATAGATTTTTCGTTCAATATGCAAATAATAATAATTTTTGAATTCAGGCAAAGTTTTTTTCGTTTAGCATTCATGGCTGCCACAGAGCTAAAAATCACAAAAATTCCAAAAAACTGGAGAGAAAGACTGCAGCGATTTTATTAAATTATTTGCTTTTGAGTAAAAATAAAAAACCCAAAAAATTTTTATTGTAGTACGTAGTAGTATCTAATGGTGTTCCATACTTTGTGAGCCTTTTTTGCTTTTATTAAATTATTATTTTATATTTTGAGAAAAGTATGTTATATCATAATGTTACTAAATTTAAGTATGAAAACACCCAAAAAAAGGTTTACATGTTTTTAAAATTTATTTTATTACAGTTTCCTTTTGTAAAGTACAAGTGTCCCATCACTTTTGTGAGACACTGTATATCCTTTTTATTCCTGCTTCTATCATGACCTTCATCTTCAAAAAGTTGGCTACTATGGAAGGGGAGATTGCAAAACTGAAGCTTGGTGTTCAAGTGTTTCAAAGAATGAAAAGTGCGTTTCACGGCTGTTCCGGTAACCTCGTAAGGAAGCCGGAAGTAGAGGGGTAATTTGAATGAACTTCAGTTTTATACGGTATTGTAGAACGAAAAATACGACTCGCTCATAAGATTCCTCGAAAAGCTTAATTTGCATAAAGTAACTCAAACGGGATAAATTCTAATCTGTGAATATTATCGTTCGCTGATTGATGCTTAAGGTATCCATTGTCCTTAACAAATCCTTAATTAGGTTAATGTTTTGAATACTGCGCTTATAAAATTTGATTGATACTGATGCATTAATCGTAAATTAATACAGTTAAGATTTTCTAATATTATGTTTTACGCATGCAGGCTAACTGTGCATTTAACCTGTTTTTCTCAAAACAATTAATGTACATTAATATTAATGGCAAACATTAAAAAAAAAAAAAAAAAAAAGTGGGAGAGGAAGGAATTTGCAAAATTGTTACCCTGATATATATGGGAAGGCAAGAAGTTTGCTAAAATAAGCAATCACTATTAAATCAGACTGATAAAAATAATCATTCTGTCATAAAATAGTAATATCGTTTTATAAACAGATTTTTGAAATCAATATCGTTTTTACATTTCTAGAATCAGAAAGAATTAAATTCCATTTATTTTGTGACTGCGTGGTAAGCAGTATTGGAAACTCATATCGCCTATAGTTATATCTACTCGCTAACTCTGAGCCAGAAGCAGATAACTGTCACAACAGCAAAATTTCATCAAGTTAAATAAAGGTGAATTTTAAAAGGTGGCTCATAAAAATCTGTTTCATGGAAAGCAAATTTTTTTAAACAAGATTTCTGCGAAATAGCTCCCAGTTTCATACATATCATGCATAAAATTAATGAGTGACACATTTCTAAAATTTATGTGCATAAACGTAGGATCTTCATCTTATTCTGTCTATAAATAAAAGAATTTTTTTTTTCACTCTCTGCTCTAGATTCCACGTCACATGTCATCATGGGAACCATCAGGGGGTTCTTCAAAAGCATTAGCAGCTAGTTTGTGTTCGCCCGCTATTTTCTAATTTTTCCTTTGAATTGTGTCTGCTCAGATATCAAATCTGAAAATTCTTGAATTCCAAGCCAATATAATTATGGTGGAGTTCTTTTTCTTGAAAATCCAGCAATTTAATTGCGTTTTATTATTTTCCTTCTTGAAAATTAGCCTTTTACGGATTTCTTAATTTATGCCCCTTTTTTTTATTAATTTTAATAATCTATTCTAAAGTAATATAAGCAAAAGATGCACGCTAGTATAAGTTGTAATAAATATGAGAATTCTGCTGCTTTTGGATTTAACTTAATAGGAAATGGAGTTAGATGCGTTTAAAAGGAAATATTTATTCATTGAACACTGAATTGAATTTAATATGGTTTTCTAACTTCTGTATTTTTTAGATAAAAATATGCAAAGAGAATAATAAATAGATTTTGAAAGCCTTCTGCGTTAAGATGCTATGAATTGTGCACCTTAGTTCTATATTTTTCTCGAAATCCATTTTTGTCTATCCTCACAACCTAGAGATGTTCTTTTCCTCCTTCCAATCAAAAATGAAGGAGAGATGACGTCAGAGATGGAACGGCTGCTGTTGCTAGGCGCAGAGCTGTATATTTCCTTTAGCATCAGATGTTTAGTAGTACAATGGGAAATAAATTGAGAAGCACCTATTTCTCGAAAAATTCTGAACAAAGGCTTGAAATAACTGTGCCTTTCTATTATATGTAGTTAAAATCAAGCTTCTTTTAGTTGAATTTTAACGTATAGGATGGTATAGCATATTTTCGCGAAAGTAAAATGTTTTGAATGCAGTTACCTCATCTCACCCTCACTCCAGAAAATTCCACAAGAAAAAAAAAAAATTAGAATGATTCATTTGCGTAATCTAAAATAATCATCAAAGGAAAATGAAATCTTTACGCGATTTTGATTACAATTATATGGTAAATTTTAATGTAAATCTATCAAATGAATTCTGCTTTTATTGTTCTTCACGAAAATTTTGTTTTAATTTATCGAAGAATTGCATGGGAACGTTTTTTATGTAGATTTATCGTAAAAATTATAATTGCACAGATATTTTATGCAAGACTAAACAATAATATACAATAAAAGTTAACATTTTAATACTGAGTGTTTTATATAGTGTAAATGGATCGCTCTAATGATAGAAGCGTGTAAAGCTAATTGAAAAGAAATTAAAGTTTTAATTAATACGTAAGACAGAAAATTTTATATTAATTTTGAACCAGCCCCTTACCTGTATTACAGAGTAAATATAAATAGACTTTATACTCTCATTGAAGCCCAAAGTTTCCTGAATTATTTTCCTAGAATTTTTAACTTCTTTGATATTATTTCTTTCTTCTCAGTATTCCTTTTATAGCCAATGACCGCTTTTGTCAAATTTTTTACGTACACACACATATATTGGGGTCAGTCCATAAATGTTTGCGCATTTTTTGGTAAATTTTTAAATAATATAAAAAAATCAATTATATATTTTCCTCCATTATCTTCCATCCATCTTACAGGCAGCTTTTTATGCCATTGCTGTAGAAAGACTCTGGTTTTGATGGGAAAAAAATTGAAAGTTCACTGTGTACATCCTGTTTAGAATTTAACTTTTTTACCAGTAAAAAAATTTTGTAAGGCACGAAATAAGCGAAAATCACATGGGGCAATATCTGGGTAGTAAGCAGATGTGGCAAAAGCTCCCAATTATAGACTTATGGACTGACCCGATATATACATAAAATTAATGATTTATTCGAAATTATTTTTATTGCCATTAATATTCCGGTTCTAAAAGTTTAGAAGCATCTCATAAAGCTTAATTATACATGTTTTCTCGATCTTTAACTCATTTCCATTTGGCGGAATTTTACACTAGTTTTGTTGGTGTGGCTTCTAAAACCTCCCAGCACAAGATTTCAGACACTTCCTTTATTGCTATTTGTAAACATTCCTTTAGTAGAAGCATGAACAATATATTTTTTTGATTTGTAAAATTTACATTCTTAAATATTTTTTAGTTTCCTGAGAATAATAACGTATTCAACAGGCAAATAATTGAGGATGTATTCATTTCTTTAAATTATTAAAAAATAATTTCATAGTTTCATTCCTCCATTTATCGAGCTGGCTTATGAAGACTTTTGACCTCAGTTTTATTTTTGCGCATGGCCTTTCTCATTCTCTATGCAGGGTGTCTTACATCAGAAATCTTTACGAAGATTCACAGTTTTTATTTCAACGGATAGTTTTATAAGTGACAATTATGCTGGGAAGTTTGTTTTTATTTTGCTTGCTTTTTAAATTATAAAGAGGGTAGTTCGTCAGTGAGTTTCTGATGTACTGCAAAATGTGATCTTGGACAGGGAAGCCTTGAATGAACCCTGCGTTGTATTACGTTCGAACGACAACGCTATTGATTTTGAGGCTCCTCCCCCTACAGAGCGCGCATCGATCGTCTCTCTGCTGCCCTTCCTGTAATTCCTGGTTGGCAGGCATCCGCAGTCCACCATCGCGAGAGCTTCAACCGAAGGTAAAGTCTCTCTTTCTTATTTTGCCCATCTTTGTTTTCGAATTCACTTCTGGCAAATTATCAAAAGGATGAACTAAATCCACTTCGAAAGACGCCCTTAATTTTCAATTTCTGATTTGCATTCTGAAATGTTACGAATGAAAATAGATATATTGCTTACTCTGACACAGCTTAATCCTTTAATGGATGATGTTTTATTCATGATATATGTACAGTATATATGTAGTACATACATGTATGAGCATACACAGGGTGTTTGAAAAAAAAATGACTAAAAGCTAGATATTATATATGCATTCTTTTTTCGCAAAATAAGGGGGAGAATCTTATGAAAGAGTTTCAGTGCTGTAGATAAAAGGGTTCTGCAGATATACAACTTGACTTTTTTACAGTCCCCTTAAATCGATAATTTCATTTGTAAATTTGTAGGGTTTATATTTATTTTAACTAACATTTATTTTAAGCTTTCTTTCCTGTCAAGCCTTTACTTTCCCCTGGAATTGCCAATGCCAGAGTATGTAAATTTTAGTAGAACGCGCAAAGTATTCAAATTTTCAGCGGAAGTATTTTTGAGTTAAATAGATGGGAAACGAGTTTTGTAGGTGTGCTTTCTTGATTCACGAGCGTGAAGGTTGCTAGGTATAAATTTAAGAACCGCGCGTTTCGGCCTGTGTGCTTGCTTCTGCAGTTAGTTGAATCTTTCAACTTTTTATTCAGAAAGTTTGCTGAAATCTCAGCTGTATCTTAGAACGCGGTTCAGTTAGTTACGTTTAGAGAGCCTCGTAGGAAGTGACTTGTTATTATTCATTTTTAGTTGTACTTTCTTATTTTTATTTAACCGCCGGGTCGGCGTAGTTTGTGAGCGTCAAGTGAACGCATCTGTAACTTCTAAAAGTGGAATAAAAAGGGAGTTAAACCCTTCTTAAGAGTTTGTGTACTTTCCAGTTCATAGCAGTCACTACTATTGTTGCGGGCAAGTTGGGGCCACGCAACACCACAAATTAATTTCTTTTAAAAAGTTAAGAAAAAAATAAAAATATATCTAGTATTAAATGTGATATTCACTGAGATATGTGCAAATAATATTTTCATTGAGAGCTTGAACATCGTAATAAATACTGTTTTATCCATTGGTTTTAATTGATAAATGGAAAACTATTGTTTGTATTTCCTTCCATGAATATGGACAGAAAATCTTAACCTTTGGTTCATAATAGGAATCAAAAATCGTATAAGTTAGTAAATTCAATCTTAAATTTCTGTGAAAATTTTGCAAATGAACTTATTTATTTTTACCCTCTTTTAAAGTGTTAAATATTTTACCAGCTGGAGTTTTACGGGGATCATATAAAAACTTATGTTTACAGGTACCCCTTTTTACACAAAACACAGCCACGCATTGCGTTAAATTTGTTTAAATAAATTTCTGTACTTACATCTTGAAACGTTTTGCAAGAGAAAGATATATCGATTTCGGTAACTAAATGGATAAAGCCTTTAGTTGCCATTTTCTATCACCAAATATGTAAATATATATACCACACACACACATACACCATTCACTGGAAGAAGTTTATATATGATTGTGGATTTTTGCATATTTACATACCAATAAATCGTGTAGTTACCAGCAAGTAGCAATCAATGAATTAAAGGTAGAAAATAATAGAGATTTCTCTATCATTTCTATAATGTATGGCAAAATTTTCTTTATATTCTTTTATAATGGATTACCGAAAAAGAATGGTAGTAAAATAAAAATGTATCGTTTAAAACGATAAATTTAACGAAATGAATCAAATGTTAAAATGCTTCAAGAGATCTGAAATTCGTTTAATCATAGAGTTATGTTTACAATGGGAATGCCATTATTTTCTGTTGTGGTTGGAGATCAGGAATCTTCCTCCGAAACTGTTCTGAATCGCAAAGTATGATTGGAATTCTTCAGCTCGTAGAAATAATTTGTTTAATCCGTTCTTTTAGAACCTAATGCGAAGAATCTTCGGTTTCAAATTCTTGCTCCATTTCCGCAAAAACATGCATAATTTTTTCACATTTTAGCATTTGAACTGTTGGATGTGTAATGGACTGATCTTGGCATTCATTTTTGATGACCCTGTACATGTCTTATTTCTTTCTTTATACAAACCTGATAAAAACTATTATTTTAATCTACAGTGTATTTTAAGTTAAAACCGAAGTAATAATAAAAACAATTATAAAACTTCTGTTTTCTCTTTGTGGTAAGAAACGATTAAAACGGCTAATTTTTAAATCTTCTGGGAGGGAATCTTCTAGATAAAGTTTAAGACAAATCTCGTACCCCGCAAAGACGTTTATTTTTATTTCGCTAATATTATCACAGTTTCGTGGGGGAACTGTTATATGTCGCAGAGGAAGAAATTAAATTACCAGCCTGCTTGCGAAGATACAAGATTGCATCTCAATGCATGTTTTCTTTTGTTTTTATTTATTTATGAATACTACAGTAAGGGCCGACAACAGAGCCAGTGCGACCTGGTGGCAAAATAGAGACGCAAGGAAGATTTGGAGGCAGCAAAATTTAAGAATGGCAAAGGTTGTTTGCATTCGATAACAAAGAGCTTTCGCTATCCTTGTGGAAAAGTCGCATTATTTCATTTAAAAACAGGAAACTTTATTAAATGAGCTAACACACTTTCTCTATTTATAGGTCTTACATTGTTGGCCCACATCGGGTACGCTGTCGAGCAAGCCTTTTTTATGGTTCTGATTTTACGTTTCTTAATGTTCTGCCCTTACAATTATTAGTTACTGATTATAATTATTTGTCAAAAACCGTGATTCATTGAAGATGTAGGAAAGATAGCAGAATTTTATTTTCTTCCACTTGAAATGGAAAAAAAAAGAAAAAGAAAAGAATGTACTCTACGGTCATTGGCGTTTTACGAGCGAGCAGTTACAGGAAGTTGTGAATGGGAAATACCTTCGTGTCTAATGTATTGTTCGGTTCCAAGCTAGAACGAAAACAATATTTGATGTATCTTGGAGTAATGAATGAAAGTTTACGCTTGTATTTACTTCTTTATTGCTGTGTTTATCTTGCATGTTCCATCTCTTTCACGGCTATTTAATTGTCACGTTTTACATCACCCCCCTCCCCGATAAAAGAAATGAAAACCTTCAAAAAAAAGTTTTTAATTACTATAATGCTGCAAATGTTCAGAAAGATAATCGGTTGGATATATATTTTAATTAAATGTATGCATTTTGCACCAATTTGACAAATCATTAAAAAATACAGATATGAATTATCAAGAATCACGTTAATTGATTTTAAATAACATCTTAAAAGTGTAGGAAGATTTTACTATAAAGATTTCTGATATTAATAAATAAATAAATAAGTTTTTATATGGTAAACTTTTATTTAAAATTTATCAATTATTTAATTAACTAAAGGCAGAAAAAATTATCATACAGCTTAACGGAAACGACAGATTAAATAAATTTAAAAGGTGGTTTATACCTTTATAAATATTTTTATAATATCTTTTACTTCTATATTGAGCAATTCGATTATTAGATTTCGTTATTTAGGCCTCCACAGTTTTATTACACATAATTTAAAAAATCGAAGATGTGTCTTGTAAAGAAAATTATGTAATTTCTTCTTCCCGTTAGACTTAATGGTGAACTTTTTATTTTTATTTTTATTTCATTAATTATTTTATGAGTTTTAAACAAAAGCTTTATTTTATAATAGCCTTCGTATTTTCTTATTTCTTATCTTATTTTTTATTTTCGTATTTTTAGCCTGAATAACACGTTATCAATCAAATTGTTCAAATAAAAAAAAAACGTTTTTTAACGATAAATAATCGCTGTTTTAACGATAAATAATCGCTTGTTTTAACGATAAATAATCGCTGTTTTGTTATTATTTACAACCTTTTATGATAAGACGAATTAATTTTAACTTTACATTAAAAATTTTTGTATATTATGTGCGATAAAAGAAATTCAAATATTTGGTTTTTAGACTACCTACTACATGCGAGTATCTCTAAAACCAAACACTTCAGGTTTTAGTTTTAGGCATATTCCCATTTTCTCCATTTCGGAAAAAATAATGCGTTATTATTATTAGTTTAATAATTAGTAACCTTTATGCAACTGGAGTCCTGAATTTTAAATCCTTTCTGTGAGTTTATTCTGAACCTTTTGCAATTATTATTCTGAACATTTTGCAATTTCCCCCCCCTACTTGATTAAATTACTACATCTGGCTTGCATTCGGTTTAGTGAGCTTCGCATGCCAGCCTGATTGCTGGCTGCACAAGCGAGAAATTAAAATATATTTCTTTAAAGTCATGTAATTCATATTTTTATTTTAAAACAGTTACAGTTACAGTAATTCATATTTTTATTTTAAAACAGTTAAGAATTTATTTTATAACTCGTGTAAAAATTTCAAATCTTAATAACGGATACATTTGTGTGTGTTAGACTTTTAATGTCCCATAAAAGAATATAATATTACGTTTTGTATACATCTAACACACACACAGACATATAACATTAACAAAGGTAAAATATAGTTTAATAAAAAAAAAAGAAAAGAAAAACTCTCCTGCGCTAGTGCTGCAAAGATAATATTTAATTTAATAAAGTAATAGAGAGTATAAATGAAATTTATCTCTTAGGAAAGGCGAAGTGAAATTTAGAAAGATTTATTTTACTTTTAATTGGCTATTCCAGTTTATTTATTTTCAAATTCCAATTAATAATTAGCACAATAGTGCACATGTGTTTCGTATAGAAAATAATTTTGATTTATATTCACTATTACTTTAAGAAATTATATATGCACGCAAAGAAACATAATAATCGGCAAGGTAAAATATAGTTTAATAAAAAAAAAAAGAAAAGAAAAACTCTCCTGCGCTAGTGCTGCAAAGATAATATTTAATTTAATAAAGTAATAGAGAGTATAAATGAAATTTATCTCTTAGGAAAGGCGAAGTGAAATTTAGAAAGATTTATTTTACTTTTAATTGGCTATTCCAGTTTATTTATTTTCAAATTCCAATTAATAATTAGCACAATAGTGCACATGTGTTTCGTATAGAAAATAATTTTGATTTATATTCACTATTACTTTAAGAAATTATATATGCACGCAAAGAAACATAATAATCGGCTAAAAATTAAAAACCAAATTTTTTTAAACCCGTCCTGCCTATAGCTTCAGGATTGAAGTAAAATAAACTTAAAGCTTAAATTTAAATTGGAATATGTAATTCAGCTTTTAAAATAAAACGATGCGAATATACATCTATATGTGTGGAAGCAAGAAGTAAGTGTAATGATATTATAACTTCCGAAGTATGTTTCAGAGCAAATCATGTATGTGATAATCAAGGAAAAACCAAAATATCCTTTTCTGCTAGTTAATACAGCAGCATACTCTCTCTCTCTCTTTTTTTTAATGGGGATAAAAGTGTAGAAAATCGGCCAATAATCAATAAAAATTGAGAAACGTTATAACATTTATATTTTTAGATTGTGGAATTTTAAAATAATTTGTGTCAAATAAACGAAGAAAATAAAGCAATTTTCAAAAATTCTCGGAAAAAATAAAAAATAACATTAAAAGTATTACATAAACTTCATTTTAAAGAATTTCTCTCCTTTATCTTATGGTGGAAACAGTAAACAGTAAAAGCCTTGCTTGTAATAAAATAAATATTCATCAGAATATTCCTTGTAATAAAATAAATTATTCAAAACATATTAGTCGGCAACTCACGTAATAAATCGAACCCTCGAAACTTCTTTCGAGGTGTTCTGCCGGATGAAGTTTTTTGCTATAATTTTTTGTTCTAATTGAAAATATATCTAAAAAATTATTAACTTCATTTGGAAATTACATTTTGATTACTAAAATATATTAACAGTGTCTTCTTATCTTAAGTGAACATGACAGGCTGCTACAAACTAACGACAAAGCTCTGTTAGAAATTTAATTATTCATCATTTTAATGATAATAAAAGTATTCAAAATATCCAGATAATCCTAAAAGTGTTCTACTGTTTCTGATGTTATGAAACGATGAAAATTGCGTGAAACTTTTAAAAATGCATTTTAAGAAAACAAGGGAAATGCCTCAAAGTATATGGTAAGCAAAGATTTATCATATTAAAACGATGCTATTTTTCAGACGAGCCACAGTTAAATAAATACATTTGGGTCTAGTGTACGAATTATTGCGTGGAGAAAGCTGAATGAAGAACAGGGCCGAAGCTAGACATTTTGTTGCCCGGTACAAACTCTGCGACTCCAAAATTCTGTTGCCCGGTTGCTTCCTAAATTTTAAAAATTTTGCCGCCCTAAATTCTGCCGCTTGGTGCAGCGGCACCGGTTGCGCATGCTCTGGCGCCGGTCTTGATGAAGTCCACTGTTAAGCACGATGGTGGATGGGTCTTGATGACTCCGAAAAACTCATTGTCCACTGTTAATCACGATGGTGGAAGCATAATGGTTGGGAATGTTTCGCTGCCTCTGGGATGGGAGATAAACGTTTTGTAGAACATAATATCTGTGAATACAAATATATAAATATTCTTAATTAAAACATGAAAGTATATTCACGAAAACATGTAATGAAAAATACATTCAAGCTCTATCAGGATAACAATCCTAAACACACAGCACTAAATGTCCGCTTATGGCTATTACACAATTGTCCCAACACACAGCCCTAAATGTTCGCTTGTGGTTATTAAACAACTGCCCCTAAGTTATGAAAGCTTCTCCATATTTTTCGGACTTAAATCCTCTCGAACTTGTATAAAGTAAGTTGGTAAAAGAATAAGTAAACATGACATTTCTTCGAAAGCCCTAATAAAATCAATTCTTACGGAGCAATAGTACAAAACAGAAGACTCTTACATGAAAAGAAATAGTTAAATTCATGCCAAATTGTAATTTTAGCTAACGGTTACCCAACAAAATACTGTATGTTCCGCTCTTTCCTTGTAAAACTAAACTGTGATTAAATATTAACTGTATGTTTTGTTCTTCATTAAATACAAACTGTTTAAAGGGTTCGAATACGTATGTAAATTGGTTTTCAGAACTTCAGAAACAAACAGGCTTTAAAAAAAGGTGACCAGTAGTGCTCTTAAAGAAAAGATAAAATTATTTCGCTAGTGTTTAGTAACTGACATTTGAAAATAAAACTATAAAACGCAGGTGGTCAGAAACAAATCTGTAATTCGAATTCATCGTCTTTTGGGGACGGGGGGGGAGTTCACCCTCAAAATGAAACGTTCCTCTAGCATTAAAAATGGCGCAGAATCGTATTATGATAGTGTTTGATTGATGGGAGTTTACTTTTGCGTTCGAAACAGGAGTAATTTGACATAATTCTGTTGTCAAATTACTCCTGTCAGAATATGTTTGGCTGCTCTCTACGGTTACTGAATTTTTTTTTTTTTTTAATTAATCATTGTAGACAAGCTGTAAAAGTTATAAATACCTCGTTGGCAACAGGTGTTTATTTACATATTTAAATCGTTCTGCTCTTGTTGAACTTTGCCAAAGGAATTAATTATAAGAGATAGTCATAGTCACTACGCCATTATTAGTACTTGAATTATGTGTTGTGAGTCAGTTATTCACATTCAGTTACGTGTTGTTGACGGAAAGGTAGGAAACAGTCGTTTCTCAATTAATAATAAAAAACGTGAAATAATTTTCATCATTAAAAACCGGAAGCAGCATGGAAATTCAATATTATATTACTGGATATATTATATCATTATTAAATCGTCGACCGCGCTTTGTCGCCAGAACTAGCTCTGATAATAACTTCCCAATTTCAAATGTCGCCAAAAGTTCGTGCTGTGTATTTCTTATTACCTAGGTTACAGCATGTGAAATGGAAAGTGTTTGCTTTCATGATATATTGAACAGTATATAATAACAATTTATGCACAAAAATTGTTAAGGTAAATCATGTGTTTTTTCTGTGACCCTGTGGTTAATAAAGTAAGTATTCTCTCCTAATATTGTACAGCTCTGTTTAAAATAATTCTACCAATCTTTTCTGTTATATCTCATAACATTATAATTTATTAAATGTTGATAGATATTTTTGATTAATTTCACATTTTAACACATGAATATGACATAGTTATTCTTGGGTTTTAGTAAAACCAAGATGCTATTGAAATTCATCAAACTAATGACATTCTTAAGTGGTGAAATTTTTTACCGATAAAAAACTTTTTGTAAATCAAATTTTTCATGTTGGAAATAAAACATATCATTACAATTTCAAAATATTTAATTGAAACAATTCATCTAGGTGTGTATAAGTAAGGGATAATAATTAAATCATGAAAGGGGGTCAACTTAACAGGAAATATTCAAATCAAAATTCAAACAAAAACAAATTAGTAAAATTAATGAAACATAATCAGTTAATATAAGATAAATATATAATATCTTTTTATTATGTTAAATCATCAATTTATTGTTTTATTAATTTTCTTGAGTTGTTTTTGTTTAATTTTAAGCAGCATATATGAAATGGGTACCTAAAATGTAGATCTTAAATAAATTTTTTAATTTATTTAATTAAACCTTCTTTGTTCATATTTTACAAAATGTAATCAAATTCTGTAAGGTACCAAACTGATTTAAATTACATGTATTAAATGAGTATAAATTTGTATCTATCAGGTTGAAGCAGTGCAACCTAACCTTATGAAGTGTGTTCATACTTTAAACGTTTCAGTTGGAAATTTTGGTCTAATTAGTATGATGCCTTTCAATTAACTAACAGCTTAGGTTAGAATTTTGAGAAGTTGTTTTATGCATCTGTTACTCAAATTTCACCATCCAATAATTTAATGAACTTGTGTTATATTTCCTTTTTGTTGTAGGTCTGCTGCTGTGCTAGACTAACCAACAAAAGTGCAAGAAGTAAGGCCAGCTGTCCTGCTGCCTTCTGGGCAACCGCAGGACAAGCAGATCCGGCCCAGTCATTCCCCTCTCTTTGTTGCAGTTCGAAGAAAAGCGTCATGGTGTATACCAACACCACAGCAACAGCCAGTGACATGGAAAGTCATGCAGAAGTGGCAGCATCATCGTTGGAAAAGGCGAAAACGTCATCTGATCCCATCACTGTGCTCCAGCCTTTTGCACATCAAGTAGGAGGACACACGCAGCTTTTGGTCTTGGATCACAGCACTCTGTGTAAGCCTCTTATCCAGAGAGAGCTACATTTTTATTTGAATGTTCCACGAGAAATGAGAAATTTCATTCCATTATATAAAGGTATGCCAAGAATGCTTTTCTTTTTTCCCCTCTCCTTGCTTTGTGTATTTTAATGATGTGTCAATATATGTTTTTATTTATGTTTAGGCAAAGAGATATTTACTAGTATGATCTGAATTTGCAGTTGGGCTTGATTTTTATGCGAAATCATTTCATTAAATTAAAGTATTTTCTTAAAGCTTGGCAGTTAAGTTTAATGTAGATAAATGCTCCAAAGCAAGCTTTAAATAAATATAGCAAAACATATTTCATTTATTTCAAATTCCGTTGCAACATAACATGTAAAACTAAATATATTTGACTCACTATAGTCGTCCTCCTTTTTAATATGAGCCTGTACTATTGCTGTCCATGTATCATTAAATTTGTTCTACATGATATATATAAACCTTGTGACCAAATATTTTTTCATTGATGATTCAGAAAATATTGATAAGGGAATTTTGCTTTTGTTTGTCATAATCCATATAAGTACACTAAGCCCTTTTCCGTCTTTACATGTGAAAATGTCATTATTCATTATGTTTTATCATAATAATGACCTAATAATTATTATGCTCATGCTTTGACAATATTATTTATAGCAAATTTATTTTATTCAAATTTATTCATTTGAATTTGCATTATTGTGCATTTAAAATTAACTAATTATTTGTGATGACTGCTAAATGTCTTCTTTTTCTATCTTATGTTATTTATAACCTGTTAAATTTTAGCTAAAAATTGTCTCATGTTTTTTTAGATCTAAGATTATAGCATGATTAAACTGATTTTTAAATGGACAGAAAAATTTAAATTATTGAAAAATTAATTTTTGTAGTTGATATTCATCATATTTTCTTATAATAGTAGTAATAAATTACAAGAAATATTTTTACATTGTTTCCTAAAAGTTCATCTCATAAACTGCATTAATTACTGCATTTTTAATTATATATATGAAACTGTTTTATTTTCTTATGTGTTCCATTTTTGTTCTGAAATCACTTAAGAAACAATTTATTTCATAATTTCCATTTTCTCTTTCAAGGTGTTGTTCAGGTGCAACAGATAGATAACAGTCCAACTATTTACCACCCAGTGAGAGGCAGTAACAAGAATTATGGAGACTGTGAAGACAAACTTAACAGAACTCAAAGACATAAAACATCTCCAGAATTAAGGTAGCAAATTGCCAGTTGAGTTTCAACCCTGCTTTCTCTTGTACAAGTTTTAATTTGAAAGATTTAATTTCTTAATAAATTATTGTGTAATTAGCAGAATGATAAAAACATTGCTGTTTTTACCAAAATGTTTTTTTCTGAATGTGTCAGTCAATCATATAAAAATTTGCATTCCTATTGTTTATTTTTTTATTTCGAATGCTTAGCAGATTAAAAATTGTATATATGCAGATTTGAGCATTATTATTCAGTTGAATTTATCTTGCTTAATAAAGGCTCATATACAGTTTTAAAATCGGGTTTAATTTCTGTGCATTGCTTTAAAGCCTGCAATGCAAGCCTTATATCACAGTATTATAAGAATAATTTTTATATCCAGTACAATAAAATTAGAATTTTTTAAATATGCTTAGAAATTTAACCCTGTTTACAAGGAATTTCATTTCAGTTAGCTTTTATTTCTTTCAATTTTGTTGTTTGCATCTTAAATAGCATTCCTTTTCTCTAAAAACAGAGAAAATTTTTATAAAAAATATCATTCTGCTTTTTAGTGGGTCGTATATGTATATATATTTTTTGCATGCACAGTTTTACTTTAATCTACGTAACTAATTGCATATTGTTCAACGTAAGTTCGTGACTTGCTGAGAACATTTAAAGATTTGTGTATTCATATTTTATGTACAGAGCCGTACCGTGACTGCTTTGAACGTGGGCGAGAGGTATTGATTGCTCCCATTATCCGATGATTAATTTGGGCCTTGGGTATCAATGTTGCGCCCTGGACTTATCCCACACCTCGGGCGATTCTACCTTATATGCCCATCATTTGGTACGGAACTGTGTATGTATTTTGTGCGCAATGAAACTGCATTGTTACTTTTGCCGATAGAATTTCTTAAAATTTTCTAGTATGTATGTTATTCAAATTTAACTATTTCACTTTTAAAGAGATTGGAATTAATATCCGAATGGTGATTAAGAATTAATTTACTGTTGTGTAATTAATGAAGTTTCATTGCATTTATTAATTGTTTTTAATTATCCATTAGGTTTTTTTAAGGTGTTCAAAGTTTACTTTGGAATGCCAGTTCAGTTCTCTCTTTCTTTTACTTTATTTCTCAAGCAATTAATTGTTCAACATGCTCTTAAAACTATTGTGCAAAATAATCTTTTCAGCACTCTAGTCATTTAAACTTTTAACAGTTTTAACAATGTAGTTGCTGTCTTTTCAACTTTCCTTGGAAATATTTTTGTTAATAAATGTAAACTAAATTGTTTTCACTTGCCTTTGCATGAGTAAAAGCTAAAATAAATCCTCAGCTGTTATGATATTTTATTTAATAAATTACAGCATTAAATTTAATAAATGGAACTGTATCTAATTATTAACTTAATAAATTGTTGGCTGTTGATTTGTTTTTAGCTTTTTGTTTTTACTCTTGTAGAATTGTTTAATCTTTATGTTTTGCATATTTTAAGAAATGATTCATTTATATCAAGTTAAAATAATATTTAGTACATTTATTTTAAATAAAGTTATGCCATGGTGTTGATAAATATTCATTAGCAGTTTCTGGAATATTTCTCTATTGTAAAAATCAGTACAGGGTTCGTACTATGAGTTAAAGTGTTGGAAAAAAGATATAGTTATTAATCCTTGACATCTTTCACTTTGAATTAATATATATTACTTTGTTTTATTCTGAGAAGTATTATATATTGTTTTATTCTAAGATTATTTATTATTTTTGGGAAGTTATATACTCTATGACATCATTAACACTTATGTGGAAAGTAATTTATTTCCCTAATTACTATATAGCATTTTATAAAGTTTTTCTCACTTGTATTTGTCTAATTTATAATTTATGGTTTTTTTTATATTGTGTAAATAACAATGCTGTTTAAATAAACCATAGAATTCTCCATTTCCTTATGAACTGAATCTTTTATTTCATTTTATAATATTTTGAATAAATGTAACAAGTCTTTGTTTTAAAAACAAATACGAGGAAAATTGTTGCATGCCTTTGACAGAAATGCTTTATTTTGTATTACGAACCTTGTACTTTACATGTGAAGAAAGTGTGTTTCATAGAACTATTGTCTATTCTTAAATCTGTTTTAAGAAAGGGTCTTCAACTTGACTTTTAGCATTATAAAAATTCTATACCATAAAAAAAAAAATTTACATAAGCTAAATTTTATTCCAATCAGTTCTATTAATGAAGTACCTTTTTGTGTAGAACAGTGCATTAGAAAGCATGCAAAATCAGCTTTTGAAAAAAAAAAAAGTGTATTTTCCATATTTTTTTAATAAAGTAATTTATCTTAATATCTCTATATTTTTCTACATAGAGTCCAGATACATTCTTGCAGCGACAAAAAGCTTATTAAAGAAAAGCATCTTCACCAGCTTTATAGCAGACCAAATCCTAAATGTATCCTTTAAATTATTTGCCTGATTTGTAATATTATTTTTGGCACTTCTATTAATGGTGCACCACTAGCATCAAGATAAACCTTAGTGCAAAATATAACTAGATGGTAGCAATGGGTGATGTATTGTTTCATGAAAAGAATAATTATATATATAATGAAAGTAGTTTAATGTAAACAATACCAAGGCTGTGTGCAGTTACGAATTTGTATTATTCTCTGTTTTATTTTAGGCACGTTAAAGTGATACTTAATTTTTCTCATAATTGCTGAAATAAATAAATATCTAATTTAATGTAAATTTTTCTTTTAAATAAACATTTATCTTGTTTTAAGCGTATTTTTCTTGTAAGGTATGTGAATAATAAGTTTTTATCTCCTCTTTTATGTTCTTTAACCATGAACTTAGATTTTTTGCTATTAGAGAATGTTGCTTCTAATTTTCACAAGCCTTGTATTTTGGATTTGAAGATGGGGACAAGACAACATGGTGATGATGCACCACCTGACAAACGTAGCCGTCAAATGGCTAAATGTGCTGCAAGTACATCTGCTAGGTTAGGCGTGAGATTGTGTGGTATGCAGGTAAGAAAAATGTAGTTTTCTCTAATATTTTATTGCTTGTATCATAGTAAATAAATATTTAAAGAAAAATGCTCTTCAAAATTAAATGTGCATTATTTTGGGTAAAATCTTTAAAGACCTATTTGCCTTGAAAATGTTACAATATCCATTACATCATTCTAATTTCTTAGGTTTTTGAAGTATTTCCATTTTAATTTGAGATATTTAATTGTGATTTGTTGCAACTAAACTAAGAGAACTATATTGTTCTAAAGTCATTTAGAGCTTTTTTTTTTTTTTTTTTTTTTTTTTCTGAAAAACCCAGAGCCATTATGACAGATTAGTTACTCGAGACAAATTTTAAGACTATATTTTGTGGACAACTTTTTATCACGTTCGTATATATATATAATGTTGAATGATCTTAAATTCACTTAGTTCGAAAACAAGTTTTTCTAATACTTCCGCAATAGCTGCAAAGTAAGTTAAAAATAATTTATTTACTAAAGAAATATTGATTATATTATCTCCTAATATAAATTTAGTAGAAGTATCAAAAAAGAGGGAACCCATATGTAGGAGTTTAATTCTGAAAATGTGTTTTAAAGTACGTGAATTTAAATTATTAAATGTTTACAGGGACTGAATTTAAATAATGAAAACAAAATTTTCAAACTTTGAAAAATAAATAAATTGAAAAGCAAGTAATTATCGTATTGATCGGAAATTAGTTTGCTTTTCAAGGGAAACAAACCAATTCTGTTCAATAATAATAATGAGAAGTGTTTTCTTTTACTCAAGTAAGAATGGTGATGCCTAACTGGCAAATTACTTTGGCCACAATTGTAATTCCTTGAATGAGGGATTTAAACCAAGTAGAGTACCAAGATCATTCTGATTAGCATTTTGCTAATATAACATCTTTATTAATTTTTGAGTGAAAAAGCATTTGTAGTAAAATTTACAAAATACTTGAGTATTTCCCTGACACCTTCACTTTTATGCATGTTAATTCAAACTATTTGTATTAAATATTAAACATGGTTAATCTTTAATTGGAATTATGAAATAGAACTAAAAGTAATTGAAATAAACATTAGAAAATTAAGAAACATAACAGTGCTATCTTTGCAAAAACAAATCAAATAATAAACGTTGAAAAATTAATATACGTATTGACATTTTTTTGCAATAGAAAGCTTTTCTTTTGTCGTAAGATTTTGCCCCTAATTTTAAACTGTATATCATTTACCATATAAGGCCTAGTCATTTTTCCCTGTGAGTACTTTTGTGATATAACTTGTAACATGCCTAGCTAGCAGTTGGAAAATCCATGAATCCCACTGAGGACATAATTGATTTTCCTTGTTACCTGGCTTAGAAAATGTATAGGGTCTCTATAGGGGTTCTTAAACTAAAATGCACTGGATGGTAGTTTGTTACTGCCTAGATTTGGTCATCTTCCCAGCTATCTTTAAAATAGAGGGAATGTAAGGGTGAATTCCATTTTCCATGCATATTGTAGAGGGGTTAAATAATAGGTTGAATAACTAACAATCTGACGATTTGTGATTCTAATGCCAGTGAAGCACAGTTAAGTTTTCAGATTTCCTGTTTTCAAAAAGGTAGTTTTTCTATAAGAATTGTAACAAAATGAGCCATTTAAAAGCAATGTTAATTATAATATTTTGTTATTTCCTTTTAGTTATAAGATTCTGATAAATTTGTATATGGTAATATTTTGGTTGTCAGTTATTATCAATAACAGATTTTATTTTACCATGTGTCATATTTCTAGTCAAAATACTTTCTTTTTGAATCAGCTACCTGCACACTGTTTTCATCAATATTAAAATCTAGTTATACTAACAAAATATTTCAGCAATATTAAATTATAACTTAATCTTTCATTTTTATTTAATTTTATTTATTGATAACTCAGTATTTCTTTGGATAGCTTGATGAAATGTATATTTCACTCTGTAAAGATCCAGCCTTAATGCTTTTCAGAAGGGTTGAGATTGCAAGATATTTTTGGTATTTTTCATAATTTAATTTAATTTTTATTAAATTTCAATATAAAATTTTGTAAATGAAAATGTTTCAGTCTGAACTAATTGGTTGGGGGAATTCAGCAGAAAAAGATAACATTCAAGATAATTCACAAGATCACTGATGTATTTTCTTTGTCAGTTTTGCTACAGAAAGCAGTTTCATCTTAGAATGGGAAATAATTCCTGTTCTTAAAGAATTAAATTTAGTTTCTCAGTCTTACGATTATTCATTGCTAAGCATGATGCAGTTTATAAGGCATGTGCTTTTGCACTCTTGTTTATTTATGCTAATATAATTTCAGCATAAAATTTAGTTAGCTAGAGACATGCGATATGTGGAACATTTTATGGCAGAAGTCCACTGTAATTCTAGATTTTATTTTTGAATTATTTAGCAGCTTCTTAATAACTAAAACAGTTTCTTTAGATAATCAAATAAGTAAACTTACTACAGTGGAATACAGTAATTTTTATATTAAAAATCAGCCTTGTATATGAATTATTTCAATATTTCCTAATCATTTAGGCCCCCATTATTTAAACATCAAAAAGATTATAAATAAATTGCCAACATGTATGCAAACCATGATAAAATGACTGGTCAATGAACCTCATTGACATTTGTATTTTCCTTTATCATGCAAAGTGCTCAAAGTAAGTCACATGTTATTATATCTTCTTTTATGATATAATATCAACGATTCACAGTCACTTCTAGTTCACTTACCATCAGAAGAGTTCTGAGTATTTGATGTATTAATTTAATTTCCTTAATAAAAATAAGTATTTTTTTATTATTATTTATTTGCCTAGAAGTGAGAAGATAATACTGTCTTTCTTCCATGAAAAAAGCATTTTACGTTACATTCAAATATGTGTAAATGACTTTGAATTGAAATTATATATTAATGAAAGCATTTCAAATTGTAGCATGAAAAGTTGTAAGCAGAAGAAAAGCATATATTATGACAACTGGTTCACTGATTTCAGAATAGCATTTGTAATAACATATAATTATTTACAGAGAATCTAATGTCGATTGAATGATATAAGAAGCAACTCAACCTTTACAAAAACATAGTTATTATCTGAAACAGTTTAATACAAGAGCTGTATTCTCTACATTTGCTTCAGTAACCAAGTAAGCAATTAGATGGCCGTAAAAAAATCATTGAAATGTACAAAAATCTGTGAATATGCCAAAAAAGGTTCAGGTTTCTGTCACAACATTGGATATTTTTTTGGTTATGCCCAGGAACTTGGAAGTTCTTTCTCATTCATATTCCAAATAGATAGGCAAAAATTATGGGCTGTGTACAAGAGGGATCAGTGATTTATTCAGACTGTTGATGTGCATCCAAAACAAAAGAACTAGATAAGCAGATTAGAGTTACTTTATTGTAGACTAGAAATTTCATTATGTCGGCATATTGTTGATCCAACAATAGCGGCTCAAAATGTTGAAAAATTGTGGGACTCCACTGCAGCTCATCATCATCATGAAGTCTTATCTTGTGGAGTTCTTAGTACAAGGTAACCAAAAACGTTCTTGCCGTTTCTGATATGACATTGGAAGAGTGAACCCCAACATAACAATAATCTTCAAACCTGGCGTTGAAGTGGTTAGGATGGGATTCCAAACATGGACCAAGAGTATAAAAGCACATTGGATTGGTACTTCAAGCATAACTTGCACAGCAACTAATTGAAATAGACGCGTCAAAGGCCTTCGTTTGGAGTTGTTTGCTATATGATTTAAGTGGGCCTATGAGCAGCAGAATCAAGTCGCTAAATTTTCCAGGCCTTTGGGGATGATGCTGTTAATGAACGAATCGCTAGGCAATGGTTCCAGAAGTTTAGGTCAGGGACATGTCTCTTAGTGATGCACCGCTCAGCGGCCGACCACAAGCGTGGAACAATGAGGCCCTGAGAGCAGCTATATAGAGTGAGAGTAGCCAAATATGTGGTGAGCTTGTTGCACACTTCCAGGTATTGAAATAATTCATATACAAGGCTGATTTTTAATATAAAAATTACTGTATTCCACTCTAGTAAGTTTACTTATTTGATTATCTAAAGAAACTGTTTTAGTTATTAAGAAGCTGCTAAATAATTCAAAAATAAAATCTAGAATTACAGTGGACTTCTGCCATATAATGTCCCACATATCGCATGTCTCTAGCTAACTAAATTTTATGCTGAAATTATATTAGCATAAATAAACAAGAGTGCAAAAGCACATGCCTTATAAACTGCATCATGCTTAATGATGAAACATTCAGACTCCATTTGCACCCCATAGGAAAGGCATACAAGCTGAGCAAGCGGGCACCCCACACACTGTCCGATGCAAACAAGCAACATTGTGTCACTGCTTGTTTGTCATTGCTTACTTGCCACCGCAATGCATCCATGTTTGATAGAGAGAACTCACCAGTAATGAAAAGTGGATGACGCACCCAGGCGTTCCAGACATTGGTTGTCACAGCGGGACTCTGTTCCTTAAACTGCGAGACCTTTTTCTTCACCCACGCAAGATCATTCTCTGTATCTGGTGACAAGTCACTAAGTGGTGTACTATAAGCTCCTGCCAGCGGACCAAACCATAACGGCAGACTTGTATTCACAGCAGTTGGAACATGTGCATCAGGCACTGATGCATAAAGAGCCAGCATTGGTCAGTCATGACAGTGCGAGGCCGCTCGGAGGCCAGGGACACCACCCAACGACTAGGCTGGGAGACACTACCCCATCCACCATTCTTCCCAGACCTTGAGCCAACAGACTACCACCTTTTCCATATAATGGGCAACCATCTTTGTGGAAAATTCTTCAACAACTGGCCAGACCTCGAAATAAAAGGACTTTCAGGGACTTTTTTTCATCCAAGATGCCCGAGTTTTACTGCGATGGCATTGCATAGGTATTCATTGGCAAAAGGCACTGATGCCGATGGTGATTACTTTGAGGATTAGTGGTGATTATTATTTGTTTTATGACTTTTTCTTTCTGACTATCCAAAATGGCAAGAATTTTTTTGGTTACCTTATATAAGTAAATACTTTTGATGCCATATGAAAAGCAGTTGCGAAAAAATTTAAGTAAACATGACCTTAGTGGTATTCTTGGCATCCATTTGGCATTTCAGGAATAGGGATGATAATAATAATAATAAGGAAGTACCATAATTTTTAATCAAATTATATGTAAATTACACTTTTTAGGATACTACTGCATTTTATTTGATTCCATTAAAGTATGTGCATCTTGAATTTAATGAAGAAAAAAATTTTAAATTCTCTTGGACTCATTTTCTTCTAAACCTTTTTTAAATTATTTAATTTTGAAATTATATATATTAGTTAATAAAAATTAATCACATATTTCATCTGTGATTGAATTCATAACAGTAGATTTTTCTGCAGTCTGTGATTGATATTTAATTCCCAAGTCTTTTATTCTGTTTATTTGTTTGAAGTCAAAGCTTTTTGTTTAGAATTGTAATATCAATTAAAATTACTGAATTTTCTGTGAGATTGGTTGCCAAAAAGTATGTTCAAGTTTTAACTTGAATTTTTTTGGCAAGATTTCAAGTTGTAAATTCTTTAGTATCATTTCGATTTCAAATTAAAGTGGTGGTTTTCGATTTTAGAAACAAATTTAAGTAGACATTATATCCTTGACAAAAAATAATTAAAACAGTGTTATGACCACTGCTTTCTTAAGAAGAATGCTTCTGAAAATGATGATTTTTTTAGAACTTAAATTAACATTGATATTGGTTATTATAATAATATTCTCTAAGATGACAATTCTCTATCCTGAGTGAGACTATCAAGTATGTATGTTAAAGCAATCACCAAAATATCTAGTTTTGCTATCAAAATAAAGTATTTTATATACTAAATAAAATTAAACATGGAGTTACATTTTCCAGTTACTAAAAAGATAGAGTTGTTTTTAACAGTAGTTAACCTTTTCTCAATAATTACATCTTTCCTCAGTGGGCTAGAAGTTGATAAGATACTTATGACCAAGCATTTTAAATGAATCATCACATTTTCAAACATTTTATTTCATTATTTTCATTTCCTGTGTACTCAGCTGAGAATATATTAAAAATCAATGTCAAATGCACTGAGGGAATTCACTTTTTTGGGGGCAAGGCTCTTTATTAAAATTGGTCACATTTATTTCAAAGCATTCAGTGCATGTGATTTTTTTTCCTTCAAGTTTCTTAAATTTTAAGTTGTTAACGTTTAATTAAGCAGTTCATCAAGCTTTAGATTAAAATGCAAAATGTAAAGTAAATGTACAGGGTGTTCCAAAAAAAAGTGCCAAATTTAGTATGCCCAGAAGAATACTCTTAAAAACAGAAAATATTTGTTGAGTTTGATATGAGTTGATAATGGTGAATTTTATTGCTGTTAGTTTATTTTGCAGTGTCGTTGACATGGAATGCTACTCAAAGGAACAGCAAGTTTTTATTGTGAAAAATTTTTTATGCAATGTGCAAGTGAAAGTACATCTAATGAAACAACAGTTTAGAGATTAATAAAGAAATCTGAGGGTACAGGTTTTAGAGCAGGCATTTAATGACCATACTTTTGATCTAATTGGTCTGTTGAAAAAGTTACTATTTTGCATGACAGTGTTATTGCAAACCCCCACCAAAAAAAAATCTAAATTTTAAGAGAAACAAGGGAAAAACATAAAGAGGAAATTGGAATGTATGATTAACCACCTGAATAGGCAAATATGTGAAAACTGGATTATAAATTTCATCAAGAGAGTTCAGTGCTGCAGAGCAAGTTGTAGAGGACATGTGCTATATGTTATTTTTCATTCTTTAATCAGAATATTTACCTTTTGTGTATTAAAGTATTTTCCATTCTCTGAAGATAAAGTACTTTACTAGACATATTAAATCCAGCTCTTTTGTTGGGATACCCTATAGTAAATACTGAAACATGATTAAAAGTTGTGGAAGATGTAGCTGACAATCTTTTGCAAGGTATCTAGTAAAACATAGACATAAAAACCTTTAAAAGCAAAGGAAGCAATCAAAATTAAATAAATTTCATTTGCGGTTTTGCAGCTGAAGATGATGGTTCGGTAAAACCATCGAAACTAGTTCTGTGAAAATTTTGTAGGTATAACGCTGATTTTTGTTCTTTGACTTCTGAATTAGTAAAATTAAATGGTTCAAAAATTCTGATAAAAGTTTTTTTAAAAAAGTAAACTGTTTAACCATATGAAGAGTTCATAATTTTAACTTTGGAATTGTTTCAAAATTCTCTTGTTAAAAAATTACCTATTAGTGCCAATTATTCTTAGACAGAGGCTACAAATTATTTGTGCCTAACTGCTTCAACTAGTAAAGTTATATGTAAGCAAAAGTTATGAGAAAAATTGTATTTTTGAAACAATTTTATTTTAAAAAATTGTTTTAAAAATGAATTCAACTTTTAATAACCATTCTCATAGTGAGATTATGGTAGCAACAGTAGCCATTGTTAATGAAAGATAATGATTTCAAGAATATTTATAGTATTAGTGAAAGGGATTTTTCTTATTCATTAATTAATGCGACTATTAAATCACAGCTTTTGGATCTTCAAATTATCAAAGTATTTAAATTTCAGTATCATCATCCCATAATGACAGTTCAGTAATACATGAACTGAAGAAGCAAATTTTGTTATTAAATGAATATTTGTTTGAATGTACTGCAGCTTAATCTGCTTTAAGAGTCTCCAAAACCTTAAAATAAGATAAATCTATTATGCAAATTGATAATTACCCTCCCCCCTTTCCGAAAAAAAATTTTAAGTCATGGATAATCAATCATCTTAGAAAGTGTTCACTATATTTTTATTTCTTTCAGTGACCTGTTGTTTCTTTTAGTGTATTTATATTATTTCTCCTTCACTTTATTACTTTTATTATTCTTTGACTTTAAAAACATTTAAAGTTTTATTTTGTGCAGTATATTCAAATAATTGGCTTCAAATTATTTTAATCTTTTTCATTTGAATTATGCTTATAAATAAATAAAATGTTAATGAATAAATTTCTTTTAAATAGGTGTATAAAGCAGATGTTGATGGATATATTTGCAAAGACAAGTACTATGGTCGTAGTTTGGATGAAAATGGAATGAAAAGTGCCCTGTTTCAGTTCTTCTGCAATGGCTCATATTTACGAGTCTCTCTATTGCGTAAAGTGATTGGTCGCTTAATTGAATTGAAAAAGGCTATCGAAAAGCAACATACTTTTCGCTTCTATTCTAGTTCTCTTCTTATCTTGTATGAAGGTTGCCTAAAAGGCAGACAAGAGGAAACTGAGGATTTTTTCAGTCTTCTGGAAAATGAAAATAGCTGTTTTGAAGATATGGAAAAATTCGGTAGTGAAAGTATGATGGATGATGAATCTTCTCTTGAAAGCAGCAATGATTCTACCTCAGCTTCTGCTTCCTTGTCTTGGTTGTCATCTCATAAAATGTCAATCGAAAGTAAAAAATGTAATGTTGTGCATGGACCTGAAGTGGATGTGAGAATGATTGATTTTGCTCATACCACTTATGAAGGCTATGATGGTGACACTACTGTGCACTCAGGCCCAGATACTGGTTACATTTTGGGCCTGGATAATATGATCCGTCTTCTGAGAGAAGTAGAAGATCTAAATAGCTCTGTAGATAAAATATAAGTGTGATGAATATGTTCCTCAAGATAGTGAAAACTTTATCACTTTATAGGGAAAAAATGAATATTTATATAATCATTTAATAATAGAAAGTCTCTGCACTGTTTCATATACATTGTTGATGCTTGGAAGTAACAGATTAAAGGAAAAATCATTTTGTTGTCTTTACATTCAAGGTCCAACCTTGTTGATAGATTCCACTAAATATGCTGTTACTTATATCCTGAAATATAAAAATTATAATTTTCAATACTTAAAAGTTTTAATTCAAACACTTTTGAACAGTGTATAGAAAAAAACTATTTGATTTCATTGTTATGATACTTTTTCAGATATGGTACACTCATTTTGTAAATAATGTTCCAAATTTTCTTATCTGTTTAAGTAAGCCATTTCATTTGTAAATAGTTTATGATCGCGACTGTTTCATTATATTCCTAAGTACAAGGGATGTCTGTGATAATTTGTCGGTGAAATATAATTTAAGTTGCTGTGTTCCAGTGAATGTATTATATATGTATATTTTAAATTGTGTTCATTTTATTTTGGGGCAGGTTTATCGAACAAAGCAGTTTCTGTAGTTTATTTTTGTAAATGTATTTTCTTTTCTTAAGCATTCTGAAAACCATCTTTCTTTCTTACTTTTTGCTGTCATAATTGTTTATTCAGCTTTTAAGATAATACTATTTAGTTGCTTTCAAATTTATGTTTTTTTTTTTTTTTTTTTTCCTGTAATTTTATATTTGAAATATTTTTTAATGCAAAGCAAACCATTTTCTCATTGCCTTTAACTCATACAGCGATTTAATATTCTAATTTATAGTTTTGCAGTACGTCTGTTTTGTTCTGATTCGGAAGTATAGTAAGTACAGAAGAAATTCATGCTTGTATTTGCTGGCATATTATTGGCGTTGATCTAGACTAAATTTCTACTTATTGTATTTTCCTATTTGTGTCGTATTGTCCACCTAAATCTGGTTTTATGCAGATGAAAGTTACTGTAATTTTTGTATATTTTGTGTATAATATCCGTTCTTCAGCTATGCTAGTATTTTTACGATTTTGTGAGCATTTTTTATAATGTTACAACATTTATATTAATATATTTCTCAGTCAGGGGTTTAATGTATCATTATCATAGCAGATCTTATTTTAAATGTTTTGAGAATGTAAGAAATTTTTAGTAAATTCAGATCTGCTGTATTTTCTAGAGTTTTAATTTGATTGGTTAAAATTCCAAATATAAAACTGCAAATAGAATTAATTTAATGTAACATATGGTTTTGGTTTTAATGAGACAGCATTTAATATGATTCACTTTTCTCTAATAATTTTGTAATTAATCAGAGAGGTGTGTATATTAATTTATTTGCAGCTGTTTTCAAGTGAATTTCACATATTTTTACTTTACCTGTTTTGAAAAATATTTTCTTTCTTTTTGCTCACTTATGCAAAAAGAATAAATGCTGGCTGAAATACAGAACAATAAATAATTCCATAGAAAGTGCTTGTTCCAATTCTTTAAGCTTTATCATATTTTTAAAAATTCTAATTTGTAAGCCTAATTTGTGTTGTTTAGGTGTACATTAATAAAAACAGTTTCATTTTTGTTTTTTAGTTGTACGATCATGAGATTATTTTATCTCTGAAATGAAGGCAATTATTTAAATATTATTTTTAAAGCAGATTGTTTTGAAATAAAATTTTCATAAATTTTTTAGTTTTACGTGAATTTAAAGGATTATCTGAAAATCTCTCAAAAAGAAAGAAGTAATCATTTAGTAAAAACTACAACTCTAAAAAACTAAAATGATTTTAAATTATCACTTTTTCTCTTACCTCTTCCCCCCCCCAATTTATTTTTTTTTCCCAGTGAAATATTTATCAGAATCTTAAATATAAATTAATAACATAATTTTTAATATAGATATAGATATATATATATATATATATTAAATTTAACATAATATATATTATCAGTTTCTTTTTCATATATTTTTCTAGTTTACTGTTGTGTTTTCAGAAAATTATTATCTAAGTTTTAAATTCCTCTATTTGTGTTCAGTACGTTATTGAGGACAGTTTTAGACTTACAAATTTGTTTATACATTTTCCTATTATTCCAAAAAAAAATTATTTAATATTTCATAAGAGCATTTAAAACAGTACATTTTATTACCTGTACAACATTTCATAGTTAATTTAGTAATGCTTGATCAAAATACAAGCTTTATTTATTTAACAGTATAAAGAAGCAATCTAAAAAATTATGATGGAATTAAAATCATAATTTTGAAAATAACTTCCATGAAAAGTGATCCCTCAGTTGTACTAGTTATTCCCCCCCCCATCTTGAAGTAGTAGATTATTGGATGCATATAAATATTCTGAGCCTTAAAATACAAATAAATATCTGTACCTGACTGGAGAGCTCATGATGAGGCGTTGCGTTTTAAGCAACCCTTTGTAAATAGTATGTTTTCATAAACTTAATTATTAAGTGTGTATTGCGTGCCAGGGACCACGCTTAGTGTTGTAATGAAAAAGCTGATCCTAATATCTTATGTGTAATTTTATTGTTGATATCACATTGTGACAATGTGTTGGATTTTAAGATGTATAATTTTTACTGCCATTTCATTAAAAGTGGTATGTACAATGAAAATGTGTTTTGTCTCTTTTTTTGTTCTGTGCCTGGTTTAATTTGAATATATTCTAATTAATGGCAAATTTCAGGATGCACTTCCTTCTGCAAATAATAAAAGCACTTTTTTTATATGTATATATTTTAATCTGAAATAGTGTAACTGAACAAAATTGCAGCTGTTAATAACTTTATATAATAATTGGATTCAATTATTGGGGAAAATATATTTCATCCAGTATTCCAAATGATATGTAACCATGTTATAAAGATCCGAGTGCAGTTTCATGATCGGCTGTGCAAGAACCATAAATTGCGTAATCGATCTTAGCTGTGAAAGATCACCAAGCTGCTGTTGCTTATTTATGTTGAAGTAATGTAATGTTAATAAATATTATTTCGTTATTCTTTTGTTACGTTTACACAGATAATAGATGTGAAGAAAATTTTTACTTGAAAAGGGACATTTTTTTTAGTCAAAGGCCTTATTCTGAAAATTGAATGCAGAAAAAGTTATATGTGTACATATGAATCAAACTCTTTATTAAATATAAATATATCTTTATAATATATGTAAATATTTATAAATAAATATTATTTAATTTTGTATTTGAGTGGATTTTGTGTAGAATTCACAGCTAATTCTGAATGAATAGCTTGAGGTTTGAATTGGTTTATTTGATTACAGGAAAGAATTTTAGAAGTATCTGCCCAAGGGAAGATATAGCTTCATCGATGACTTCCCAAGGTAAACAAGGAGGACTCCCCAAGGCTTATATTTTAGATTATACATGAGAAAATCATCATAATTCTCATGTAGTCGGCTTGTTTTCTGGGATTCAAATTTGGTTTGAACTACCAGTATTCACCAGCCACTGGTGGGGTGTATTGATTCATATGTATCAGATCTAGGAATTTGGTGAAAAGTTACCAAATATGGGTTTGAGAAATTTCTGTTGCTAATTCCATTTCCTGAAATCTATGTTAGGGATTAATAGTTTTTCATTAAAATGTTACTCATTCAAGGAAGCTCTTATCTGAATGAACTGAGAATATACACTAGTGGTTGTTTAGTGTAAAGCTTTTTGGCAGTCAGTTAATTAAATTAATTTGAACAGCCAGGCTTTTAATCCTAATTTTTTTAATGATCTCATTATTATCAATTGATCAATTTGATTCTGTGCTTTTAGTCATTCGTATATTTTAGCCCAAAAAGGGCTATTAATTTCCAAATGGCATTTTCTGTGGGTTCACTGTAAATGGCAGAATCGATTTTCAAATTGTTACCACCAAATATTATCTCCCTGCATTATTTTATAAGAAATTAAATAATGAAGAATCTGCGTATATGTATATATCGTGAAAAAACGATGGTATATAGAGCTATAAAATTTTGAATAACGTCCTCTACCCGAACATCTGAACCTGGAAGCCCAAACTTTATATTTCATATTTTGTAAAACTTCCATGATCCACCACGAAGGTATCCCTCCCCCTAAGCAGATAGCCCTTGTATGCTTTGTCATAATCAAATAAACCATAAAATTTAATTGAATTTCTGATTAACAAACTCAACGATTATAAGCGAGCAGTGGCAACACTGCACAGAATAAAACTTTTAACTCCAGTGCCTGAGATGATGCTGTTTGTAAATATTTTGCGACTTTGCTATTGAATTTTATTGCAGAAAACAATTTATTTTTCTGTTTATATTTATTAGGTTCTTAATATCGTGCCATTTAGCAAATAAAGTATGAGAAATTAGGGATTTTATTGAAGTCATTCTAAAAATGTGTAAACACCTACATTTTTAGAGTGTCTTCAATAATTAAAAAAAAAAAAAAAAGGGTTCCAGAATAAAAAATTTGGGCAACAGCTTATTATTTTAAATGAGAAATATCGTCTGCTACTTTTAAATTGATTATTCTTTCAAAATATCGCATGTAAACAAGCTGTGTATTGAAGGATATGCTTTTGCTATCCGAAAATAAATATTGCTATTTCTTAATTCAAAAACACTGTGAAATGCGTGGTATAAACTTTTCTAAGTATGAAATAAGCAGTATTATTGGAAATGGGAAAACTATTGTTTTTACTTTTACATGGAAAGAAGACTCCGAACGAATACCCGAAAAACAACAGCAAGGTAACAAGAGAAAATTCACCGACGCAGAATTCAGATGCAGAATCTTTTAAGTATATCTCTAGTGACAATAAATAATACAGTCAAAAGTCGTTAATTCGGACACCCATAATCCGGAATGATCTATAATCCGGACCTCAAAGCTAAAATCTTTCTGCGCATTGACGCATGAGCATAGGCGTTTTACTCGTGCGCCCAAGACATTTACGACTGCGCATATGCGTCTGCGCAAATAAGTAAGCTTGAACTTTTGATTATGTCAAATAGAATTTCCGATGCTGGAGCTCCCAAAGGATCTAGAAAACGAAAGTATGTTTCGATGTCCATCAAACAAAAAACGAATTGCTACAAAAAATGGATAAAGGCATATTCTTTGTTTATCTAACCGTTCCGAAATCTGTTTATCAATTTCACGCTGCTCTGCGCGGGGGTGGGACGTCGCGGCGCGCAATGAACTGGAATTTGATTTGTCAACACTATCGTTATCTTCAGGGCAGATGTTTTTATTTTATTCGGCTTATAATTTCTTACTAAATGTAGTATTTAATTTCGATGTACTTCGTCTTTGATATGATTTAAATCAAATTCCTCGTCATTATAAATATCACGAATACAAATCAAATAGTTTTCTGGTTGCAATTTTCTAATTTCGGCTATGCGTAAGTTATGCTTTACGCATCCGCGCGTTAAAAGAAATGTTTAATAAAGTAAACAAATAAATATTAGGCTTCTTTTTTGGTAAATTTTGATACCCTTTAGATCATAATTGCTCATTATTTTATAAATTACGGTTTCATATTTTTAATTTTATAATTTCTGCATGCCATCTTACCAGATTTAAACTGATAATCTATAATCCGGAAAAATCGATAATCCGGAATCGCCGAAGTCCCGACGAGTCCGGATTAAAGACTTTTGACTATCATAAACCGAAATTTACAAAAACATAATGTTCAGCTTTTTCCGAGGCATGTGGTTCAATGCAGAACAATTTTCCGGTTATTCTGTGTTCTGCTATTCCTTCTGTAAGAGCTCCCAGTACAAGTTTGTTTTTATAATTAACCTATATGCAGTCGCTCAGACGGGAAAGTGGTTAGCGACGCTGACTGCCGTATCGAAGGACCGGTCATGGAATCCTGGAAGAGTTCTGGATATTTGTATGCGGCATGGAATACTCAAAATAAACGTCCTCTGAAGAGGCTGGTAGTAGAGGCAGACTCCTGGGTCTGGCTCTGGAGTGCTATCCTTCAAAACTGGTCCGAAAGTAAGTATGAATATTGTCACCAGTATAGTGCTCAAGATATGGCTCACCTGTATTGGTGCCAACGACAGACATAATCTTCTACTCCTTGCGACGGTAATAATTCATAGGCTTGGCTCTGTTTACATCAGACAAGTGAGATTTGTAACAATAACCTGCATTTTTCAAATATCTGAACTCTCTTATGTTTTCTCTCTAGCACTTTCAGCTTTTCATTTCTTTGTATCCTGTTCACAGATATAGTAGTAATATTATCTTATCTATGATTCTGTCAAGCATTATCTTGCTAGTGAACTAATTTTGAAATTTAATGTTTAATACCTAAAAAAATTTTACAATCAGTTTCGACAGAGGTTGGGCCAAATGCCCTAGTATTCTGACGATTACACCATTTAACCTCTAATCGTCAGCCATCTTGAAAAACCCGTTTTACGTTATTTTCTGCATAGTAAAGTATTCGAAACTTAAAAAAAATAAATGTCGTTAAAAATAATGAATTAATTTTTTTGTTGAAAACGTTGTTTTTTAAGATGGCAAGCAAATGTAAATAAATACATTTACTATGAGTATAAAATACTAAAGAAAGGTTAAATTATCAGGTTCAATGTTCCGTCTTACCTTCTTCGGGAACATGCAAGGACCTGACTCGGAACAGAGAGCTTACTAAAGCTATGTTCAAAACTGTGGGAAGTAAACAGGATACACAAGAATGGTATACAAAACCCTTTATTTTTCTCTATTTACAATAACTTCCGTACTTCGGAATACACAGACCCGCTACTTGGGGTCTAACGTAAAAATATAAAAAATAGAACTAATCTCTAATTTAACTTTAAAATAATAAACGTGGAAGATTGGCCTTATATTAACAGGAAGCCGTATGTAGTACAGAGAACTGTGAACACTACAATACGTTTAAAATTTATCAAGAGAATTAAAACCTCTGGCCTGGAAGGCAACCAGCAACTGCGTAAAACTTCTAAGGTAAGCGGCCTGCTTCGACTAACTGCTTCCTCTCTCTCGCTTGGCAAAAAGCCACAACTTAAATACTTGGCGTTCGCCAGACAAACTTTGCATAAATACTTTAACGCTTATAATTCTGGCCGGAAGTAGAAAATAAGAAGTGATAGTAAAGATTAAAAATAAAATAAACGTTAGTAAAACTTAAGATCCTTACAAAATTATTACTTTCATATAGCACAGAAATAGAATAAAAATACCGCTATAAAAACATTGCGCCAACGTTCAATTGGATTAAAATATTACGTAAATTGAATATCGAATTAAAAAACATCATATCAACGTTTCAAAGAAGTAAAATATTACTTAAATACTTAAAAAATAAGTAAATAAAAACGCTGCGTACACTAGAGCTAAAATGACAGCAATTAGTTTATTGTTGGTAAAAAAGGAGGAATGTCTAATACCGTTACAGCGGTTATTTCTTCCAACATGACCACAATACCATATACGACCGTCCTCAGAATCGGCTCTTCTAACGATCTTCATCTGTGATCTACATTTCGCACTTCATTGAAGAAGCAAAGCAATTAGCGAGGTTTCCTCCAAAAATTTAAAATAAATTTCCTCTGACCCTTGTAAGAATTTATAAATAAA